TCTTTTGATGAGTTTGGCCTGTTGTTATGAACATTTTTTGTTTTGGCGAGTTTGAACGTTTTTGAGCATGTGTAATGGCATGAATGCGTTAAGCTGTTGTTTTAGTGTTCTTTTGATGAGTTTGGCTTGTTGTTATGAACATTGTTCGTTTTTGCCAGTTTGAAGGTTTTTGAGCATGTGTAATGGCATGAATGCGTTAAGCTGTTGTTTTAGTGTTCTTTTGATGAGTTTGGCTTGTTGTTATGAAAAGTGTTTGTTTTGGCGAGTTTGAACGTTTTTGAGCATGTGTAATGGCATGAATGCGTTAAGCTGTTGTTTTAGTGTTCTTTTGATGAGTTTGGCATGAGCATGGTTTTTTTTGGCGAGTTTGAAGGTTTTTGAGTATGTGTAATGGCATGAATGTGTGAAGCTGTTGTTTTAGTGTTCTTTTGATGAGTTTGGCTTGTTGTTATGAACAGTTTGTTTTGGCGAGTTTGAAGGTTTTTGAGCATGTGTAATGGCATGAATGTGTTAAGCAGTTGTTTTAGTGTTCTTTTGATAAGTTTGGCTTGTTATGAAAAGTGTTTGTTTTGGCGAGTTTGAACGTTTTTGAGCATGTGTAATGGCATGAATGCGTTAAGCTGTTGTTTTAGTGTTCTTTTGATGAGTTTGGCTTGTTGTTATGAACAGTGTTTGTTTTTGCGAGTTTGAAGGTTTTTGAGCATGTGTAATGGCATGAAAGTGTGAAGCTGTTGTTTTAGTGTTCTTTTGATGAGTTTGGCTTGTTGTTATGAGCATTGTTTTTTTGGCGAGTTTGAAGGTTTTTGAGCATGTGTAATGGCATGAATGTGTGAAGCTGTTGTTTTAGTGTTCTTATGATGAGTTTGGCTTGTTGTTATGAACATTGTTCGTCTTGGCGAGTTTGAAGGTTTTTGAGCATGTGTAATGGCATGAATGCGTGAATCTGTTGCTTAAGTGTTCTTTTGAAGAGTTTGGCTTGTTGTTATGAACATTGGTTGTTTTGGCGAGTTTGAAGGCTTTTGAGCATGTGTAATGGCACGTTTGTGTTGAATTAGTTAACCCTTGTGTTAAGCTTTTGCTTTAGTGTTCTTTTACAGGGTTTGGCTTGTTGTTATGAACATTGTTTGTTTTGGCCAGTTTGAAGGTTTTTGAGCATGTGTAATGGCATGAATGTGTTGAATTAGTAATCCTTTGTGTTAAGATGTAATTTAAGTGTTCTTTTAAAGAGTTTGGCTTATTGTTATGAACATTGTTTGTTTTGGCGAGTTTGAAGGCTTTTGAGCATGTGTAATGACACGTATGTGTTGAATTAGTTAACCCTTGTGTTAAGCTGTTACTTTAGTGTTCTTTTGATGAATTTGGCTTGTTGTTATGAACATTGTTTGTTCTGGTGAGTTTGAAGGCTTTTGAGCATGTGTAATGGCATGTTTGTGTTGAATTAGTTAACCCTTGTGTTAAGCTGTTGTTTTAGTGTTCTTTTGATGAGATGGCGTGTTTTTATGAACATTGTTTGTTTTGGCGAGTTTGAAAGGTTTTTGAGCATGTGTTTTGGCACGTATGTGTTGATTTGGTTACCCCTTGTGTTAAGCTGTATTTTAAGTGTCCATTTAAAGAGTTTGGCTTGTTGTTATGAACATTTTTTGTTTTGGCAAAGTTGAAGTTTTCTGAGCATGTGTTATGGCATGTATGTGTTTAATTGGCTACCCCTTGTGTTAAGATGTATTTTGAGTGTTCTTTTAAGGAGTTTGGCTTGTTGTTATGGACATTGTTAGTTTTGGCGAGTCTGAAGGTTTGTGAGCATTTGTAATGACATGGTTGTGTTGAATTAGTTAAACCTTGTGTGAAGCTGTTGTTTTGGTGTTCTTTTGATGAGTTTGGCTTGTTGTTATGATCATTGTTTGTTTTGGCGAGTTTGAAGGTTTCTGAGCATGTGTTATAGCACGTATGTGTTTAATTGGCTACCACTTGTGTGAAGCTGTTGTTTTAGTCTTCTTTTGATGAGTTTGGCTTGTTGTTATGAACATTGTTTGTTTTGGCGAGTTTGAAGGTTTTTGAGCATGTGTAAAGGCATGTATGTGTTGAATTAGTTAACCCTTGTGTGAAGCTGTTTTTTTAGTCTTCTTTTGATGAGTTTGAAGGTTTGTGCGCATGTGTTATGGCTCGTATGTGTTGAATTTGCTACCCCTTGTGCTTAATTGTATTTTAAGTGTTCTTTTAAAGAGTTTGGCTTGTTGTTAGGATCATTGTTTGTTTTGGGGAGTTTGAAGGTTTTTGAGCATGTGTTATGGCATGTATGTGTTGAATTAGTATACCCTTGTGTTTAGCTGTTGTTGAAGTGTTCTTTTAAAGAGTTTGGCTACTTGTTATGATCATTGTTTGTTTTGGCGAGTTTGAAGGTTTGTGAGCATGTTTTATGGCATGCATCTGTTGAGTTTTTGTACCCCCTAAACAGCTCGTAGTTTGTATTGGTGAGTTTTTTTATGCTCAATTTGACATACTCTTTGAAAACATGAAGTCAAAATTTTCACCGGGTCAATACTAAAGCCAGGAAAAATTCTGTCTCTTTAGTGCCTCTCAGTGGCCAAAAAAGCCAATACTTAATCAGACATAAACATCAAAAAATATCATCAAAAACTGGTGATCTACCGCAGGTAATCAAAGTCTTGAATATGTCAAAGATTAGTAATATCATTGACTTTATTCCCTTTTTAGTTTTTCTGTAGCATCAGGTTTAATAAAAAACTCCCTTTGGCGTCCCTCAGTGGCCAAAACTACTTTGTCTGCTGTAAAATATATTGGATTAATATTTTTTTCAGATTTTTTTCATCCATCTCTTATTTTACTTCTGCCCTGTTCAAAACTAGCAAATGTTTCTTTGAAAATAAAAATTTTAACCCTATAAGGGCCCATTTGAGACCTAAAGTCACTTATCAAGCAAAAAAAAAAAAGGAAGGAAAATGACCTATTTTTTTAATAAAACGTAATCCGAAGCTGGTGATTTTTTACAAGGTGCATAGGCTTGGGCATGTGGAGGATTAGAAACATCAGAATGTTTGGTACATTTTTGTGTAACAGATTTTCATAAAAACTGCATTGATTAAGTGGTTTTATAAGTGCATTCCCTATACTAACATCAGAGCATTCTCTTTCACTGACTGCAGGTGGTAGTAATGTGTGAGACAGAATTCAGTAATTCAGTGTGTGTTTGTGTGCACGTGCGTGCATTTGCGTGCACGTGCGTGCATGTGTGTGCGTGTATGTGTGAGTGTGTGTGTAACAAACAATATAAGATTGGAACACAACCATATTTTATTGCTCAAAATACATCAACAAAAGTAGAAGGTGTGTGTGTGTGTGTGTGTGTGTGTGTGTGTGTGTGTGTGTGTGTGTGTGTGTGTGTGTGTGTGTGTGTGTGTGTGAGTGAACATGTGTGTGTGTGCTTACCAAACCTGAAAGGTTAGGTAAGCAAGGTGGAAAGAGAGACACCCAGATATGGGTTTCTACGACCCATTCTTTCCAACTCCTCCCAGTCGTTGTCTGTTCCCTTCTCCAGTAAGATAAATATCTGCTCCTCACACTAGCAATTTTAGAACTGAAGAAGCTTCTTGGATAAGAGGCAAAACGCCTTCTCAACTCTACACAGTCCAGTTGCCTGTTTTTAAGTCTAAATCTTGCCCCAAGTGGCTTTTTTTAGCCACACCGTTACATTAGGGATAAACTTTAAAAAATGCACGATCATCAGAGATAAAAACTAAACGTTATTGCCTTGATACTTGCTCATCTTTACCAAAATCATCTACACTGATTTTAATGATAGGATTTTCAGTAACCAGCTACATCACCAATGATAGACCTTTCATGCAAATGAATTCAGTTAGTTGAAACACTCACACTAAAGGTGAAATTTAGGGTGTGTGACTTGATTCTGAGCAGTGTAGAGCGAACCTGGGTCATGGAAAGCAAAAAAGAGAAAAGGGACTAGGTTTCATTTTCTGAAATAAGTGACAAAAAGTATTAAACTTTTTCATGCTATTCTAAATGTAAATGACCCACATTATGTGTTTGTATCAGCAGTCTTATTTTGAAGTTAAAATCCCTATTTTCGATTATTCTGTTTCCTGTGAGTAATATAACAGAGACCGATCCCCTTATTTTGAAAGAATTTTCACCGGAAGTTAGAAGTCAATGAACAGTAAAAGATATGAAAAGTCAGGATCACAATCGTCAATAAGGATCTCTTAAGTTGTAAAGTACCTGGTTGATAGAGGCACAACATATGCTTCTTTTCTCACACAAATTAATATGAAGTGCCTTTTTAAGAGTTTTTATGAAATTTGATCGAGTTTCATGTTGCTGAGTACTAGTAAAGATGCTACAGTTACGATGATGGTTACAGTTAACACAGATGACACAGTTAACACAAGAAAGTTGATTTCATTGTTCTTGAAGGTGTATAAAATATATAATTTTAATCAAACGATTTTCTGTTACAGAAAGTGTATTAATATTGTTCCTATTGTTTTTTCGCTAGCTCTTGCGGTGTGTTCACACTCTTTAATGGAAGTTTAAAGATGGAAGTTTAAAGGAACCATTTTAAAAATAAAACTTTGTGAAACATCAGTTGGAGAGTCAGACCATAAATCAACCAGGATGCTACAGTAAATTTAAAGATATGTATATATAGATACACAGTCAAGATATGCCACATAACCATTGATCTAATAATCGGATCCTATTCTGAGTTATTTTTACATTTACTAATTTTGGATAACTAAAAATTTTTTTCTATTTAGAAAAACATTATAAAATCAAGCTTAAGATCTGACAATTAAATGAAAAATTATCACACACCCCCTTTTCAAACTTACCAGTTCGTTCAAGCCTTCAGGACCGAATGTGCTCTGCCTCTCCGTTTGCATCTTTTCAGCCTGTGCCTTCTCAAATCGCCGTTCACAGACATTGTGATGATCTTTTAGCTTGTCCAGATGACGAAGCAGATGCTACTGGGCCTGCAAAAAACAGAAAATATAGTTTTAACTACAATGGTGAACCAAATTGAACATCTATTCCCCTTTTTCTTTTATTACACAAGACAACAAAGGAAAGCTGGGCTGCTGTGACAAAAATATCCTGTATGTGCTGAGACACCAAGGCCTACTAAATATAGAACTACCTCAATAATTTAAAGATCAAGGTTTTAAGACCAAGGATATGCATAGTTGATCAAATGTGTATTTATACACATTTTATGCTAAATTGTAGTGTACCTCTTGATTTCCAGAGCCCAAAGATGTCTTCATGACCTTGGGCTTTGCTAGTTCACAGCCTGTTTTCACCTCAGCACCTGAGAATAAATATAAAAGGTCAATCATGGATATCTTGAAGACTTAAAACAGGCAACTGGACTGTGTAGAGTTGAGAAGACGTTTCGCCTCTTATCCAAGAAGCTTCTTCAGTTCTAAAAGTGCTAGTGTCAGGAGCAGATATTTATCTTACTGGAGAAGGGGGACAGTTAACTACTGGGTGGAGTTGAAAAGAATGGGTCGTAGAAACCCATCTCTGGGTGTGTGTCCCCCCCAAGTCGTGAACCTGAAAGGGTCGTTAGCGACTCCTGTCATGTGACCACATGACTCATGCCACCTGGGTCATGTGGTTCCAGGTGTGAATGTTTGTGGAGCTTCCTGGGGAGAGAGCTGAGAACTGCATTGTAAGTGCCAGAAAGATTGTGCCTGAGTCCACCCCCTCTGAGTGTGGACTCAGTGGTGGCTGAGTGTTCTGATGACACCCAGTTTGTGCTGCAGAGGATGGTGGGAATCAAAAAGTAGATATTAATCCGTGTGTGTTGGTTTCCTGTACACTTCAACGTTGAGACACCCATCTGCCTCCAAGTGTACAGCACAGTCCAAAAAGGCCAACACATTGTCCTTGACATCTTCACTTGACAGCTTCTTGGATACGAGGCGAAACGTCTTCTCAACTCTACACAGTCCAGTTGCCTGTTTTAAGTCTTCAAGATAACCATGACCTGGATGAATGAGAATCTACATGGTCAATCACGGATATGACTGATTAATTACAAACTCAATTACACAGATACAATCAATTTAAAAATTGATCTCAGACATGTTGATTAATAAAAAAACATAAGCCAACAATATTATATTTTGTTTGACAGCATACATAACCCTTGTGAAACCGTTAGATTTAGATCAGTTGTTAATGCTCAGTGGCTAAAAAAAATCACTGACATTAACCGCTGTAAAAAAATCAAAATTTTAACCCTTTAAGGGCCAATTTAAAACATAAAGTCACTAATATTAGGAAAAAATGAAAAAATGTAACCAATGTTAACATTAGAACCAAACCATATTTTATCGCTCAAAATGCAATAAAACAAAAGCCATAAATACACAACAACAGAGTATCAAACCAGAACAAACGACTAACTTTTGAGGGTGAAGCGGTGGGGAGGACTGAAAGAAACCTGGGGAGCCTAAGAGAGCGAACGTGTGAGGAATTGAGTGAGCAAAGACAGATAAAATGTAAAAGTGAGTGAGTGAGTGAGTGAGTGAGTGAGTGAGTGAGTGAGTGAGTGAGTGAGTGAGTGAGTGAGTGGTGGTGGTGGTGGTGGTGGTGGTGGTGGTGGTGGTGGTGGTGGTGGTGGTGGTGGTGGTGGTGGTGGTGGTGGTGGTGTGGTGGTGGTGGTGGTGGTGGTGGTGGTGTGAGTGAGTGAGTGAGTGAGTGAGTGAGTGAGTGAGTGAGTGAGTCAGTGAGTGAGTGAGTCAGTGAGTCAGTGAGTCAGTGAGTGAGTGAGTGTGTTTGTGTGTTCAATGTTTGAAGTGGTGAAGACCGAGTGAGTGAGTGGTGAGATGAGTGAGTGAGTGAGTGAGTGAGTGAGTGAGTGATGAGTGAGTGAGTGAGTGAGTGAGTGAGTGAGGTGAGTGAGTGACAGGCCAGACAAAACCGAGGAGATCTCCCATGCCAGATGTGTTTCCGGCCAGACAAAATCCGAAGCAAAAGATGTGTGCTTGCGTGCGTGTGTGCATGTGTGATGTGAGAGAGAGAGGGAGGAGCCTGCAGGTTATGACCCAGCACTGACCCCGCCACAAAAGTTAACTATGTTCTTCAGCTCTCAGAAGTACAGAGAGGGGGAAAAAAAAACAAAAAAAACAAAAGTGAGCTGTCCTGCAATCCACAACTTGCAGATTCGAATGACCTTTTTTTCATGAGAAGAGCAAGAGAAAGCATGAAGAGAAGCTTCTGCACCACGGAGGCCCTTGCAATTGTCATTGATTCTGATGGGATGGAATCTGACCCCCCACAGGATCCATCATCATTGTCTGGCCTGTTTTGTTCGAGGGGTGAATCTACTGCCTCGCTGTGAGATGTGGATCTCTCCTGGAACCGGAGAAAGTGATTCAGGAGGAGGCTTTTCGTGGAGGACCTGGGAACGGCTTTGGTGTCAAAAAGAACTAACAAAACCTGTGAGTTGTGTGTGAAACACATCTGGCATGAACACAGAGTGATCTCCTGCAGGTCTTGCTTCAAACACTGAACACACACACACACACACAGAGCTGAGTTCTGGCTCAGCACATTACGACCAAGCTGGTACCGAAAGAGAATGCGAGTATAGAAAAGACACAAATAGTGCAAGTGTTTTTATGAGTGTTTTGTGAAAGTTTCTATGAAAATTAGACATTACACAAAATGTATCATAGTTTCTGAGGTTTCTAATCCTTCACAAGGCCAAGACCATGCAACATGTAAAAAATCACCTGTTTCTGATTATGCTTTATGATGAAAATAGGTCATTTTTGTGTATATGTCTACCATGTCAGTGACATTATGCTTTGAATGGACCCTCAAAGGATTAAATAAATGTTTTTATATGAAACATTTACTAGTTTTGATCAAAGCAGAAGTTACTTAAGAGATATATGAAAAAAACTGAAAAAAAATATTAACCCAATATCTTTTTACAGCAGTCAAAGTTAGTGGCTTTATTTAGCCACTGAGTGTAAACAAAGAATAGAAAATTTGCCCAGCCCGTATTTTTGACCTGGTGAAAATTTTGAAGTCATATTTTCAAAGTGTCCATCAATATAGGCATCTGCACAAAAAATCATCCCATTTGCTGCAGTTAAAAACAAAGTTACATGGAAATTAGTGGCTAAATTTTGCCCCAAGTGGCTTTTTTTAGCCACACCGTTACATTAGGGATAAACTTTAGAAAATGCACGATCATCAGAGATAAAAACTAAACGTTATTGCCTTGATACTTACTCATCTTTACCAAAATCATCTACACTGATTTAAATGATAGGATTTTAAGTAACCAGCTACATCACCTATGATAGACCATTCATGCAAATGAATTCAGTTAGTTGAAACACTCACACTAAAGGTTAAATTTAGGGTGTGTGACTTGATTCTGAGCAGTGTACAGCGAACCTGGGTCATGGAAAGCAAAAAAGAGAAAAGGGACTAGGTTTCATTTTCTGAAATAAGTGACAAAAAATATTGAACTTTTTCATGCTATTCTAAATGTAAATGAACCACATTATGTGTTTGTATCAGCAGTCTTATTTTGAAGTTAAAATCCCTATTTGCTATTATTTTATTTCCTGTGAGTAATATAACAGAGACCGATCCCCTTATTTTGAAAGAATTTTCACCGGAAGTTAGAATTCAATGAACAGTAAAAGATATGAAAAGTCAGGATCACAATCGTCAATAAGGATCTCTTAAGTTGTAAAGTACCTGGTTGATAGAGGCACAACATATGCTTCTTTTCTCACACAAATTAATATGAAGTGCCTTTTTAAGAGTTTTTATGAAATTTGATCGAGTTTCGTGTTGCTGAGTACTAGTAAAGATGCTACAGTTACGATGATGGTTACAGTTAACACAGATGACACAGTTAACACAAGAAAGTTGATTTCATTGTTCTTGAAGGTGTATAAAATATATAATTTTAATCAAACGATTTTCTGTTACAGAAAGTGTATTAATATTGTTCCTATTGTTTTTTCGCTAGCTCTTGCGGTGTGTTCACACTCTTTAATGGAAGTTCAAAGATGGAAGTTTAAAGGAACCATTTTAAAAATAAAACTTTGTGAAACATCATTTGGAGAGTCAGACCATAAATCAACCAGGATGCTACAGTAAATTTAAAGATATGTATACATAGATACACAGTCAAGATATGCCACATAACCATTGATCTAATAATCTGATCCTATTCTGAGTTATTTTTACATTTACTAATTTTGGATAACTGCAATTTTTTTTTCTATTTAAAAAACCATAATAAAATCAAGCTTATGATCTGACAATTAAATGAAAAAATATCACACACCCCCTTTTCAAACTTACCAGTTCGTTCAAGCCTTCAGGACCGAATGTGCTCTGCCTCTCCGTTTGCATCTTTTCAGCCTGTGCCTTCTCAAATCGCCGTTCACAGACATTGTGATGATCTTTTAGCTTGTCCAGATGACGAAGCAGACGCCACTGGGCCTGCAAAAAACAGAAAATATAGTTTTAACTACAATGGTGAACCAAATTGAACATCTTTTCCCCTTTTTCTTTTTTTACACAAGACAACAAAGGAAAGCTGGGCTGCTGTGACAAAAATATCCTGTATGTGCTGAGACACCAAGGCCTATTAAATATAGAACTACCTCAATAATTTATAGATCAAGGTTTTAAGACCAAGGATATGCATAGTTGATCTTGTGTGTATTTGTACACATTTTATGCTAAATTGTAGTGTACCTCTTGATTTCCAGAGCCCAAAGATGTCTTCATGACCTTGGGCTTTGCTAGTTCACAGCCTGTTTTCACCTCAGCACCTGAGAATAAATATAAAAGGTCAATCATGGATATGACTGATTAATTACAAACTCAATTACACAGATACAATCAATTTAAAAATTGATCTCAGACATGTTGATTAATAAAAAAGCATTAGCCAACAATATTATATTTTGTTTGACAGCATACATAACCCTTGTGTAACCGTTAGATTTAGATCAGTTGTTAATGCTCAGTGGCTATAAAAAATCACTGACATTGACCGCTGTAAAAACATATTGGATTCATATTTTTTCCAGATTTTTTTCACACATCTCTTAATTAACTTCTGCTCTATTCAAAACTAGTAAATGTGTCATTAAATATCAAAATTTTAACCCTTTAAGGGCCGATTTAAAACAGACAGTCACTAATATTAGGAAAAAATGAAACCAATATTAACATTAGAACCAAACCATATTTTATCGCACAAAATGCAATTAAACAAAAGCCACAAATACACAACAACAGAGTATCAAACCAGAACAAACGACTAACTTTTGAGGGTGAAGCGGTGGAGAGGACTGAAAGAAACCTGGGGAGCCCAAGAGAGCGAATGTGTGAGAAATTGAGTGAGCAAAGAGAGATAAAATGTAAAAGTGTGAGTGAGTGAGTGAGTGAGTGAGTGAGTGAGTGAGTGAGTGAGTGAGTGAGTGAGTGAGTGTTTGTGCGTGCATTTGCATGCACGTGCGTACATGTGTTACACACACACACACACACACACACACACACACACATACACAAACGTGTATGTGTGTGTGTGTGTGTGTGTGTGTGTGTAACAAACAATATAAGATTGGAACACAACCATATTTTATTGCTCAAAATACATCAACAAAAGTAGAAAGTGGTGTGTGTGTGTGTGTGTGTGTGTGTGTGAGTGAACATGTGTGTGTGTGTGTGTTTGTGCTTGCTTTCATAAACAAAACCACTAACCACTCTAACATTTGATCACAACCATAATTCTGCCTAAAATGCAATGAAATAAAAAAATGACCAAAGTTTCAAAAACTCAATGCTGCAAGGGTTTAGCAGAACAATAGCTACCTTTTGGCTGTGAGGATGAGGAGGAGATGAGGAGATAAAATAAGAGATAAAAGAGAAAGAATGTGTGTGTGTTCATTTCTGGATGCAGGACTGGCAATCTCCTGCCAGTCCTGCATCCAGAAATGCTCAGTGTTCTTTGCAGATGGGTAGCCCACAGCTCACACAAGTGTTGAAGGTTCTGATAATCTTCCAGGGGTGGAGTTGTGGGTGGAGCCCACGGAGATCAAAAGGCCAGACAGCAGGTGCATAAACAACTCCAGACAAGTTGTTTGGTTTGTCTTGCCTTTGATCCGTTGTTTAAGACTCTAGTTCTGAGAGCATGTTTTGTTTTTTGGCCAGGTCAGTGCAGGGTCAGTCTGACCCAGCTCTCTCATGCACGCAGGCACACACACACACACACACACACACACACACACACACACACACACACACACACACACACACACACACACACACACACACACACACACACACACACACACTCTCTCTCTCTCTCTCTCACACACACACACACCACTTGCTACTTTTGTTGATGTATTTTGAGCAATAAAATATGGTTGTGTTCGAATGTTATATTGTTTGTTACACACACACACACACATATGCACACACATGCATGTACGTGCACACAAACACACACACACGCACTGAATTCTGTCTCGCACATGACTACCACCTGCTGTTAGTGAAAGAGAATGCACTTATAGAATCACTTCATCAATGCAGTTCTTATGAAAATCTGATGTTACACAAAAATGTACGGAACATTCTGCTGTTTCTAATCCTCCACATGCCCAAGACTATGCACCATGTAAAAAATCACCAGTTTCTGATTGTTTTATAAAAAAAAAAGGTCATTTTCCTTTCATTTTCCTTCCATTTTTTTTTTTTTTTTGCTTTATAAGTGACTTTATGACTTAAATGGGCCCTTAAAAGTTTTATTTTCAATGAAACATTTGCTACTTTTGAACAGGGCAGAATTAAAATAAGAGATGTATGAAAAAAAATCTGAAAAAATATTAATCCAATATGATTTTACAGCACACGAAGTAGTGGCTTTTTTGGTCCACTGAGGGGCACTAAAGGGAAGTTGTTTTGAAAGTCCCGGAGGGATATATATATATATATATATATATATATATATATATATATATATATTACAAAATGCAAATTTTTAGAGACACCAAATATTTGGAATTCAATATCTGTAAGCCATATTCTTAAAATTTTCAAGAAATAAAAGCTTGAAATATTTCACTCTATATGTAATGAGTCTGTGTATAAGTAAGTAGGTACATTTAATTTATATAGCACTTTTCATTATAAGATCAAACAGTGCTTTACAACAAGGATAAAATGCAATAGAATACAGAGAAACACAATACATATTGTCTACCCTCAGTAGACTCAATGCTACATTGGGTCAATGGTAGTGCATTCCAAAGGCGAGTCACCTCATGTTTTAAAACGGCTGCGAGGGACCATCAAGAGTTTGTGGTCTCATCAGACCTTAATGAGCGTGAGGGGCAATAGGGTCTCAGTAGCTCAGTGATGCATAAGGGAGCTTGATCATAGAGAGCTCAAAAAGCAAGAACTAAAATCTTGAAATTAATCCTAAAATTAACTGGTTACCAGTTCAACTGGGGTGATATGGTCCCTTTTCTTCAATCCAGTTACAAGCCTAGCAGCTACATTTAGTACAGTTTGAAGGTGATTTACAACCTTTTAGTTAAAACATAAAAAGAGCATTACAATAGTCAATGCAAGATGAAACAAAGGCATCGATTATCATCTCCATTTCAGGTCTTAAGATCATGGACCTGTGTTTAGCCATGTCCCACAGATGATAACAGCAATTTTACAGTGGTTGTTTACAGTGGTTGTCCAAGGACATGTCCTTGTCAAACACAACTTCCAGGTTAGGTAAGCAAGGTTGGAAAGAGAGACACTCAGAGATGGGTTTCTACGACCCATTCTTTCCAACTCCTCCCAGTCGTTGTCTGTTCCCTTCTCCAGTAAGATAAATATCTGCTCCTCACACTCGCAATTTTAGAACTGAAGAAGCTTCTTGGATAAGAGGCAAAACGCCTTCTCAATTCTACACAGTCCAGTTTCCTGTTTTTAAGTCTAAATTTTGCCCCAAGTGGCTTTTTTTAGCCACACCGTTACATTAGGGATAAACTTTAAAAAATGCACGGTCATCAGAGATAAAAACTAAACGTTATTGCCTTGATACTCATCTTTACCAATATCATCTACTCTGATTTAAATGATAGGATTTTCAGTAACCAGCTACATCACCTATGATAGACCATTCATGCAAATGAATTCAGTTAGTTTAAACACTCACACTAAAGGTTAAATTTAGGGTGTGTGACTTGATTCTGAGCAGTGTACAGCGAACCTGGGTCATGGAAAGGAAAAAAGAGAAAAGGGACTAGGTTTCATTTTCTGAAATAAGTGACAAAAAGTATTAAACTTTTTATGCTATTCTAAATGTAAATGAACCACATTATGTGTTTGTATCAGCAGTCTTATTTTGAAGCTAAAATCCCTATTTGCTATTATTTTATTTCCTGTGAGTAATATAACAGAGACCGATACCCTTATTTTGAAAGAATTTTCACCAGAAGTTAGAAGTCAATGAACAGTAAAAGATATGAAAAGTCAGGATCACAATCGTCAATAAGGATCTCTTAAGTTGTTTAAAGTACCTGGATGATAGAGGCACAACATTCGAATATGCTTCTTTTCTCACACAAATTAATATGAAGTGCCTTTTTAAAAGTTTTTATGAAATTTGATCGAGTTTCGTGTTGCCGAGTACTAGTAAAGATGCTACAGTTACGATAATGGTTACAGTTAACACAGATGTTATTCATGGAGTTCATAGCATGTAGCCCTATGCATATTTTAATTCGACATGTATTATATTTATCATAAAGCTCTATTGCTGCATTAAAATGATATCCAAAAATGTATTAGATGTTATCTGGTTTATAAAACAGGCGATTACATGTGTTACTTTAAGTTGAACCCAACTAGTTAAAGCACTCTAAAGATTGTCAATTTGCTAAAAACAAGAAAGTTGATTTCATTGTTCTTGAAGGTGTATAAAATATATAATTTAAATTAAACGATTTTCTGCTACAGAAAGTGTATTAATATTGTTCCTATTGTTTTTTCGCTAGCGCTTACGGTGTGTTCACACTCTTTAATGGAAGTTCAAAGATGGAAGTTTAAAGGAACCATTTTAAAAATAAAACTTTGTGAAACATCAGTTGGAGAATCAGACCATAAATCAACCAGGATGCTACAGTAAATTTAAAGATATGTTTATACACAGTCAAGATATGCCACATCACCATTGATCTAATAATCTGATCCTATTCTGAGTTATTTTTACATTTACTAATTTTGGATAACTGCAATTTTTTTTTCTATTTAAAAAACCATGATAAAATCAAGCTTATGATCTGACAATTAAATGAAAAATTATCACACACCCCCTTTTCAAACTTACCAGTTCGTTCAAGCCTTCAGGACCGAATGTGCTCTGCCTCTCCGTTTGCATCTTTTCAGCCTGTGCTTTCTCAAATCACTGTTCACAGACATTGTGATGATCTTTTAGCTTGTCCACATGATGAAGCAGATGCCACTGGGCCTGCAAAAAACAGAGAATATAGTTTTAACTACAATGGTGAACCAAATTGAACATCTATTCCCCTTTTGCTTTTACTACACAAGACAACAAAGGAAAGCTGGGCTGCTGTGACAAAAATATCCTGTATGTGCTGAGACACCAAGGCCAATTAAATATAGAACTACCTCAATAATTTAAAGATCAAGGTTTTAAGACCAAGGATATGCATAGTTGAATAGGTCATTTTTGTGTATTTTTCTACCATATCAGTGACATTATGCTTTGAATGGACCCTCAAAGGGTTTTAAAAAAATGCTTTTAGATGAAACATTTACTAGTTTTGATCAAAGCAGAAGTTACTTAAGAGATATATGAAAAAAATGGAAAAAAAAATATTAACCCAATATGTTTTTACAGCAGTCAAAGTTAGTGGCTTTTTTAGCCACTGAGCGTAAACAAAGGATAGAAAATTTGCCCAGCCCGTATTTTTGACCTGGTGAAAATTTTGAAGTCATATTTTCAAAGTGTTCATCAATATAGGCATCTGCCCAAAAAATCATCCCATTTGCTGCAGTAAAAAAAAAGTTACATGGAAATTAGTGGCTAAATTTTGCCCCAAGTGGCTTTTTTAGCCACACAGTTACATAAGGGATAAACTTTAAAAAATGCATGATCATCAGAGATAAAAACTAAATGTTATTGCCTTGATACTTACTCATCTTTATCAATATCATCTACACTGATTTAAATTATTGGATCTTCAGTAACCAGCTACATCACCTATGATGGACCATTCATGCAAATGACTTCAGTTAGTTGAATCACTCACACTAAAGGTTAAATTTAGGGTGTGTGACTTGATTCTGAGCAGTGTACAGCGAACCTTTTTGCATTTGGATCCAGAGGTGGAAGAAGTGGCACTTATTATCTGACACTGACTATCATCCTGTCAACACAAGGAACACAATCAGTCTTACATCCATGTTCCTGTGTTCTAGGGCCAACCAAGATAGCACTTTACAATCACAACCATGTTGTCTGCATGCACACTGGTCTAACTGCAAAATGACTGATGTCAATCATGTGATCTCAAGCAGCAACTAATGCTCCAGACTACTACCCCTGTCACAGGTACACCACTGTGACCCCCCAAACAGATGAACAGTTAGGTAGAACAGATCTGCAATAGGTTTGTCTCAACTATCATAATCCTCATCATCTGACTTTAATCCCACTTTCAGGTCTTAACAGTGTCAGGCAACAATTAAGATTCAACAGGGTCTTGGACCTGGTTTACGGTGACCATATTCTGACTCTCCAAAAAGAGGACATTACTAGTCGCGTTTTACGGGTCGAGTGTTTCTTTACGCCCCTTTAAATCAGTTAGTCCGCGGTGTACAAACTCGAAATTTCCATACAAAACCCCAGAGATTTTTTATCAACTCCCCCGACAGGCCGATGGTCATAAATAAATAAAAGTCTGACGGTGGACTCACAGATTCTTTTACTATAAAATCAGGATGAATTACTCTCACTGAGGAGCTGCGGAGCTCTCTCTCTCTCTCTCTCTCTCTCTCTCTCTCTCTCTCTCTCTCTCTCTCTGCGTTAGCTTAATAAACTTACCGTCTTTCCTCTAGCTTGCTCCAACGAGCTCCATGTGTGCACCATCATGGCTCTGAGTCAGCACTGTAGGTCAAGTGCAGAGGGAGCGCTTGTTTAAATAAACAGCGCACACCGCAGAATTCACGCAGCAGTATTTAGATCACAGCAGAAAAGAACGGGCCATCCATGTATCAAAATCAAGCTGTGTACCCAACGTCAGCCCATGCATACGTCACAAAGAAACTGTCACAGAGCCACTCCCTCTGCACTTGACCTACAGTGCTTGACTCGGAGCCATGATGGCGCACACGTGGAGCTCGTTGGAGCAAGCTAGATGAAAGACGGTAAGTTTTGAGTCACTATTCTTTCCTAAAAAATCTAATTTTGTGTCATGGCAGTAGATTTTTAACTGATTCCGCGGCCAAGTGCGATCAATGGACGGTTTCCGCTTTAAGGATAACACAAGGATGTGAAGTGAGCTAAAGCTAATGTTAGAGATTATTAAGCTAACGCAGAGAGAGAGAGACTTCAAAATTTTCACCAGGTCAAAAATACAGGCTGGGCAAATTTTCTATTCCTTGTTTCCCCTCCATGGCTAAAAAAGCCACTTACTTTGACTGCTGTAAAACATATTGGGTTAATATTTTTTTTCTCAATTTTTTTCATATATCTCTTAAGTAACTTCTGCTTTGATCAAAACTAGTTAATGTTTCATATAAAAACATTTTTTAACCCTTTGAGGGTCCATTCAAAGCATAATGTCACTGATATGGTAGAAAAATACACAAAAATGACATATTTTCATCATAAAGCATAATCAGAAACAGGTAATTTTTTACATGTTGCATAGTCTTGGCCTTGTGAAGGATTAGGAACCTCAGAAACTATGATACATTTTGTGTAATGTCTAATTTTCATAGAAACTTTCACAAAACACTCATAAAAACACTTGCACTATTCATGTCTTTTCTATACTCGCATTCTCTTTCGGTACCAGCTTGGTCGTAATGTGCTGAGCCAGAACTCAGCTCTGTGTGTGTGTGTGTGTGTGTGTGTGTGTGTGTGTGTGTGTGTGTGTGTGTGTGTGTGTTCAGTGTTTGAAGCAAGACCTGCAGGAGATCACTCTGTGTTCATGCCAGATGTGTTTCACATATAACTCACAGGTTTTGTTAGTTCTTTTTGACACCAAAGCCGTTCCCAGGTCCTCCACGAAAAGCCTCCTCCTGAATCACTTTCTCCGGTTCCAGGAGAGATCCACATCTCACAGCGAGGCAGTAGATTCACCCCTCGAACAAAACAGGCCAGACAATGATGATGGATCCTGTGGGGGGTCAGATTCCATCCCATCAGAATCAATGACAATTGCAAGGGCATCCATGGTGCTGAAGCTTCTCTTCATGCTTTCTCTTGCTCTTCTCATGAAACAATGGTCATTAGAATCTGCAAGTTGTGGATTGCAGGACAGCTCACTTTTGTTTTTGTTTATTTTTTTCCCCCTCTCTATATTTCTGAGAGCTGAAGAACATAGTTAACTTTTGTGACGAGGTCAGTGCTGGGTCATGACCTGCAGGCTCCTCCCCTCTCTCTCTCACATGCACACACTTGATGCATGCACGCACACACGCACGCACGCAAACACACATTTTTTGGGGCTTTAGATTTTGTCTGGCCTGTTTGGAAACACATCTGGCATGAACACAAAGAGATCTCCTGCCGGACTTGCTTCAAACATTGAACACACACACACACACACTCGCTCGTTCGCTCACTCACTCCCTCACTCACTCACTCACTCACTCACTCACACGCACTTTTACATTTTATCTCTTTTGCTCACTAAATTTCTCACACGTTCGCTCTCTTAGGCTCCCCAGGTTTCTTTCAGTCCTCTCCACTGCTTCACCCTCAAAAGTTAGTCGTTTGTTCTGGTTTGATACTCTGTTGTTGTGTATTTATGGCTTTTGTTTTATTGCATTTTGAGCGATAAAATATGGTTTGGTTCTAATGTTAACATTGGTTACATTTTTTCATTTTTTCCTAATATTAGTGACTTTATGTTTTAAATTGGCCCTTAAAGGGTTAAAATTTTGATTTTTGATGACACATTTACTAGTTTTGAATAGAGCAGAAGTTAATTAAGAGATGTGTGAAAAAAATCTAGCAAAAATATGAATCCAATATGTTTTTACAGCGGTCAATGTCAGTGATTTTTTTTAGCCACTGAGCATTAACAACTGATCTAAATCTAACGGTTTCACAAGGGTTATGTATGCTGTCAAACAAATTTTAATATTGTTGGCTTATGTTTTTTTATTAATCAACATGTCTGAGATCAATTTTTAAATTGATTATTTCTGTGTAATTGAGTTTGTAATTAATCAGTAATATCCATGATTGACCTTTTATATTTATTCTCAGGTGCTGAGGTGAAAACAGGCTGTGAACTAGCAAAGCCCAAGGTCATGAAGACATCTTTGGGCTCTGGAAATCAAGAGGTACACTAAAATTTAGCATAAAATGTGTATAAATACACACAAGATCAACTATGCATATCCTTGGTCTTAAAACCTTGATCTTTAAATTATTGAGGTAGTTCTATATTTAATAGGCCTTGGTGTCTCAGCACATACAGGATATTTTTGTCACAGCAGCCCAGCTTTCCTTTGTTGTCTTGTGTAAAAAAAGAAAAAGGGGAAAAGATGTTCAATTTGGTTCACCATTGTAGTTAAAACTATATTTTCTGTTTTTTGCAGGCCCAGTAGCATCTGCTTCGTCATCTGGACAAGCTAAAAGATCATCACAATGTCTGTGAACGGCGATTTGAGAAGGCACAGGCTGAAAAGATGCAAACGGAGAGGCAGAGCACATTCGGTCCTGAAGGCTTGAACGAACTGGTAAGTTTGAAAAGGGGGTGTGTGATAATTTTTCATTTAATCGTCAGATCTTAAGCTTGATTTTATAATGTTTTTCTAAATAGAAAAAAATTTTTAGTTATCCAAAATTAGTAAATGTAAAAATAACTCAGAATAGGATCCGATTATTAGATCAATGGTTATGTGGCATATCTTGACTGTGTATCTATGTATACATATCTTTAAATTTACTGTAGCATCCTGGTTGATTTATGGTCTGACTCTCCAACTGATGTTTCACAAAGTTTTATTTTTAAAATGGTTCCTTTAAACTTCCATCTTTGAACTTCCATTAAAGAGTGTGAACACACCGCAAGAGCTAGCGAAAAAACAATAGGAACAATATTAATACACTTTCTGTAACAGAAAATCGTTTAATTACTTTAAATTATATATTTTATACACCTTCAAGAACAATGAAATCAACTTTCTTGTTTTTAGCAAATTGACAATCTCAATTCAGAGTGCTTTAACTAGTTGGGTTCAACTTAAAAGAACACATGTAATCGCCTGTTTTATAAACCAAATAACATCTAATACATTTTTGGGTATCATTTTAATGCAGCAATAGAGCTTTATGATAAATAAAATACATGTCGAATTAAAATATGCATGCATGCTTTGAACTCCATGAATTACATCTGTGTTAACTGTAACCATCATCGTAACTGTAGCATCTTTACTAGTACTCGGTGACACGAAACTCGATCAAATTTCATAAAAACTTTTAAAAAGGCACTTCATATTAATTTGTGTGAGAAAAGAAGCATATGTTGTGCCTCTATCAACCAGGTACTTTAAACAACTTAAGAGATCCTTATTGACGATTGTGATCCTGACTTTTCATATCTTTTACTGTTCATTGAATTCTAACTTCCGGTGAAAATACTTTCAAAATAAGGGGATCGGTCTCTGTTATATTACTCACAGGAAATAAAATAATAGCAAATAGGGATTTTAACTTCAAAATAAGACTGCTGATACAAACACATAATGTGGTTCATTTACATTTAGAATAGCATGAAAAAGTTCAATATTTTTTGTCACTTATTTCAGAAAATGAAACCTAGTCCCTTTTCTCTTTTTTGCTTTCCATGACCCAGGTTCGCTGTACACAGCTCAGAATCAAGTCACACACCCTAAATTTAACCTTTAGTGTGAGTGTTTCAACTAACTGAATTCATTTGCATGAATGGTCTATCATAGGTGATGTAGCTGGTTACTTAAAATCCTATCATTTAAATCAGTGTAGATGATTTTGGTAAAGATGAGTAAGTATCAAGGCAATAACGTTTAGTTTTTATCTCTGATGATCGTGCATTTTCTAAAGTTTATCCCTAATGTAACGGTGTGGCTAAAAAAAGCCACTTGGGGCAAAATTTAGCCACTAATTTCCATGTAACTTTGTTTTTAACTGCAGCAAATGGGATGATTTTTTGTGCAGATGCCTATATTGATGGACACTTTGAAAATATGACTTCAAAATTTTCACCAGGTCAAAAATACGGGCTGGGCAAATTTTCTATTCTCTGTTTACACTCAGTGGCTAAAAAAAGCCACTAACTTTGACTGCTGTAAAAAGATATTGGGTTAATATTTTTTTTCAGTTTTTTCATATATCTCTTAAGTAACTTCTGCTTTAATCAAAACTAGTAAATGTTTCATTTAAAAACATTTTTTTAACCCTTTGAGGGTCCATTCAAAGCATAATGTCACTGATATGGTAGACATATACACAAAAATGACCTAACAGGTGATTTTTTACATGTTGCATGGTCTTGGCCTTGTGAAGGATTAGGAACCTCAGAAACTATGATACATTTTGTGTAATGTCTAATTTTCATAGAAACTTTCACAAAACACTCATAAAAACACTTGCACTATTTGTGTCTTTTCTATACTCGCATTCTCTTTCGGTACCAGCTTGGTCGTAATGTGCTGAGCCAGAACTCAGCTCTGTGTGTGTGTGTGTGTGTGTTCAGTGTTTGAAGCAAGACCTGCAGGAGATCACTCTGTGTTCATGCCAGATGTGTTTCACACATAACTCACAGGTTTTGTTAGTTCTTTTTGACACCAAAGCCGTTCCCAGGTCCTCCACGAAAAGCCTCCTCCTGAATCACTTTCTCCGGTTCCAGGAGAGATCCACATCTCACAGCGAGGCAGTAGATTCACCCCTCGAACAAAACAGGCCAGACAATGATGATGGATCCTGTGGGGGGTCAGATTCCATCCCATCAGAATCAATGACAATTGCAAGGGCCTCCGTGGTGCAGAAGCTTCTCTTCATGCTTTCTCTTGCTCTTCTCATGAAAAAATGGTCATTAGAATCTGCAAGTTGTGGATTGCAGGACAGCTCACTTTTGTTTTTTTTGTTTTTTTTCCCCCTCTCTGTACTTCTGAGAGCTGAAGAACATAGTTAACTTTTGTGACGGGGTCAGTGCTGGGTCATGACCTGCAGGCTCCTCCCCTCTCTCTCTCACATGCACACACTCACATGCACACATGCAGACACGCACGCAAACACACATCTTTTGGGGCTTCGGATTTTGTCTGGCCTGTTTGGAAACACATCTGGCATGACCACAGAGAGATCTCCTGCCGGTCTTGCTTCAAACATTGAACACACAAACACACACACACACACACACACTCACTCACTCACTCACTCACTCACTGACTCACTGACTCACTCACTCACTCACTCACTCACTCACTCACTCACTCACTCAAACACTCAAACAAACACACACACACACTTTTACATTTTATCTCTCTTTGCTCACTCAATTTCTCACACATTCGCTCTCTTAGGCTCCCCAGGTTTCTTTCAGTCCTCTCCACCGCTTCACCCTCAAAAGTTAGTCGTTTGTTCTGGTTTGATACTCTGTTGTTGTGTATTTATGGCTTTTGTTTTATTGCATTTTGAGCGATAAAATATGGTTTGGTTCTAATGTTAACATTGGTTACATTTTTTCATTTTTTCCTAATATTAGTGACTTTATGTTTTAAATTGGCCCTTAAAGGGTTAAAATTTTGATTTTTAATGACACATTTACTAGTTTTGAATACAGCAGAAGTTAATTAAGAGATGTGTGAAAAAAATCTAGAAAAAATATGAATCCAATATGTTTTTACAGCGGTTAATGTCAGTGATTTTTTTTAGCCACTGAGCATTAACAACTGATCTAAATCTAACGGTTTCACAAGGGTTATGTATGCTGTCAAACAAATTTTAATATTGTTGGCTTATGTTTTTTTATTAATCAACATGTCTGAGATCAATTTTTAAATTGATTGTATCTGTGTAATTGAGTTTTTTAATTAATCAGTCATATCCATGATTGACCTTTTATATTTATTCTCAGGTGCTGAGGTGAAAACAGGCTGTGAACTAGCAAAGCCCAAGGTCATGAAGACATCTTTGGGCTCTGGAAATCAAGAGGTACACTACAATTTAGCATAAAATGTGTATAAATACACACAAGATCAACTATGCATATCCTCGGTCTTAAAACCTTGATCTTTAAATTATTGAGGTAGTTCTATATTTAATAGGCCTTGGTGTCTCAGCACATACAGGATATTTTTGTCACAGCAGCCCAGCTTTCCTTTGTTGTCTTGTGTAATAAAAGAAAAAGGGGAATAGATGTTCAATTTGGTTCACCATTGTAGTTAAAACTATATTTTCTGTTTTTTGCAGGCCCAGTAGCATCTGCTTCGTCATCTGGACAAGCTAAAAGATCATCACAATGTCTGTGAACGGCGATTTGAGAAGGCACAGGCTGAAAAGATGCAAACGGAGAGGCAGAGCACATTCGGTCCTGAAGGCTTGAACGAACTGGTAAGTTTGAAAAGGGTGTGTGTGATAATTTTTCATTTAATTGTCAGATCTTAAGCTTGATTTTATAATGTTTTTCTAAATAGAAAAAAATTTTTAGTTATCCAAAATTAGTAAATGTAAAAATAACTCAGAATAGGATCCGATTATTAGATCAATGGTTATGTGGCATATCTTGACTGTGTATCTATATATACATATCTTTAAATTTACTGTAGCATCCTGGTTGATTTATGGTCTGACTCTCCAACTGATGTTTCACAAAGTTTTATTTTTAAAATGGTTCCTTTAAACTTCCATCTTTAAACTTCCATTAAAGAGTGTGAACACACCGCAAGAGCTAGCGAAAAAACAATAGGAACAATATTAATACACTTTCTGTAACAGAAAATCGTTTGATTAAAATCATATATTTTATACACCTTCAAGAACAATGAAATCAACTTTCTTGTGTTAACTGTGTCATCTGTGTTAACTGTAACCATCATCGTAACTGTAGCATCTTTACTAGTACTCAGCAACACGAAACTCGATCAAATTTCATAAAAACTCTTAAAAAGGCACTTCATATTAATTTGTGTGAGAAAAGAAGCATATGTTGTGCCTCTATCAACCAGGTACTTTACAACTTAAGAGATCCTTATTGACGATTGTGATCCTGACTTTTCATATTTTTTACTGTTCATTGACTTCTAACTTCCGGTGAAAATTCTTTCAAAATAAGGGGATCGGTCTCTGTTATATTACTCACAGGAAATAGAATAATCGAAAATAGGGATTTTAACTTCAAAATAAGACTGCTGATACAAACACATAATGTGGGTCATTTACATTTAGAATAGCATGAAAAAGTTTAATACTTTTTGTCACTTATTTCAGAAAATGAAACCTAGTCCCTTTTCTCTTTTTTCCTTTCCATGACCCAGGTTCGCTGTACACTGCTCAGAATCAAGTCACACACCCTAAATTTAACCTTTAGTGTGAGTGTTTAAACTAACTGAATTCATTTGCATGAAAGGTCTATCATTGGTGATGTAGCTGGTTACTGAAAATCCTATCATTAAAATCAGTGTAGATGATATTGGTAAAGATGAGTAAGTATCAAGGCAATAACGTTTAGTTTTTATCTCTGATGATCGTGCATTTTTTAAAGTTTATCCCTAATGTAACGGTGTGGCTAAAAAAAGCCACTTGGGGCAAGATTTAGACTTAAAAACAGGCAACTGGACTGTGTAGAGTTGAGAAGGCGTTTTGCCTCTTATCCAAGAAGCTTCTTCAGTTCTAAAATTGCTAGTGTGAGGAGCAGATATTTATCTTAATGGAGAAGGGAACAGACAACGACTGGGAGGAGTTGGAAAGAATGGGTCGTAGAAACCCATATCTGGGTGTCTCTCTTTCCACCTTGCTTACCAACCTTGCTTACCTAACCTTTCAGGTTTGGCAAGCACACACACACATGTTCACTCACACACACACACACACACACACACACACACACACACACACACACACACACACACCACCTTCTACTTTTGTTGATGTATTTTGAGCAATAAAATATGGTTGTGTTCCAATCTTATATTGTTTGTTACACACACACTCACACATACACGCACACACATGCACGCACGTGCACGCACGTGCACACAAGAAAGAAAATCTGTTGCACAAAAATGTACCAAACATTCTGATGTTTCTAATCCTCCACATGCCCAAGCCTATGCACCTTGTAAAAAATCACCAGCTTCGGATTATGTTTTATTAAAAAAATAGGTCATTTTCCTTCCTTTTTTTTTTTGCTTGATAAGTGACCTGTTCTGAAATGGGCCCTTATAGGGTTAAAATTTTTATTTTCAATGAAACATTTGCTAGTTTTGAACAGGGCAGAAGTAAAATAAGAGATGTATGAAAAAAATCTGAAAAAAATATTAATCCAATATATTTTACAGCAGACAAAGTAGTTTTGGCCACTGAGGGACGCCAAAGGGAGTTTTTTATTAAACCTGATGCTACAGAAAAACTAAAAAGGGAATAAAGTCTTTGATTACCTGCGGGAGATCACCAGTTTTTGATGATGTTTTTTGATGTTTTGATAAGTATTGGCTTTTTTGGCCACTGAGAGGCATTAAAGGGACAGAATTTGTCCTGGCTTTAGTATTGACCCGGTGAAAATTTTGACTTCATGTTTTCAAAGAGTATGTCAAATTGAGCATAAAAAAAAACTCACCAATACAAACTACGATCATAACAAGAAGCCAACACATCAAAAGAACACTTAAACAACAGCTAAACACAGGGGGTAACAAACTCAACAGATGCATGCCAAAACACATGCTCACAAACCTTCAAACTCGCCAAAACAAACAATGATCATAACAACAAGCCAAACTCTTTAAAAGAACACTACAACAACAGCTAAACACAAGGGTATACTAATTCAACACATACATGCCATAACACATGCTCAAAAACCTTCAAACTCCCCAAAACAAACAATGTTCATAACAACAAGCCAAACTCATCAAAAGACTTAAACAACAGCTTAACACAAGTGGTAGCCAATTAAACACATACGTGCCATAACACATGCTCAAAAACCTTCAAACTCGCCAAAACAAACAATGTTCATAACAACAAGCCAAACTCATCAAAAGAACACTAAAACAACAGCTTCACACAAGTGGTAGCCAATTAAACACATACGTGCTATAACACATGCTCAGAAACCTTCAAACTCACCAAAACAAACAATGATCATAACAACAAGCCAAACTCATCAAAAGAACACCAAAACAACAGCTTCACACAAGGTTTAACTAATTCAACACAACCATGTCATTACACATGCTCACAAACCTTCAGACTCGCCAAAACAAACAATGTCCATAACAACAAGCCAAACTCCTTAAAAGAACACTCAAAATACATCTTAACACAAGGGGTAGCCAATTAAACACATACATGCCATACCACATGCTCAGAAACCTTCAACTTCGCCAAAACAAACAATGTTCATAACAACAAGCCAAACTCTTTAAATGAACACTTAAAATACAGCTTAACACAAGGGGTAACCAAATCAACACATACGTGCCAAAACACATGCTCAAAAACCTTTCAAACTCGCCAAAACAAACAATGTTCATAAAAACACGCCATCTCATCAAAAGAACACTAAAAAAACAGCTTAACACAAGGGTTAACTAATTCAACACATACATGCCATTACACATGCTCAAAAGCCTTCAAACTCACCAGAACAAACAATGTTCATAACAACAAGCCAAATTCATCAAAAGAACACTAAAGTAACAGCTTAACACAAGGGTTAACTAATTCAACACATACGTGTCATTACACATGCTCAAAAGCCTTCAAACTCGCCAAAACAAACAATGTTCATAACAATAAGCCAAACTCTTTAAAAGAACACTTAAATTACATCTTAACACAAAGGATTACTAATTCAACACATTCATGCCATTACACATGCTCAAAAACCTTCAAACTGGCCAAAACAAACAATGTTCATAACAACAAGCCAAACTCTTTAAAAGAACACTTAAATTACATCTTAACACAAAGGATTACTAATTCAACACATTCATGCCATTACACATGCTCAAAAACCTTCAAACTGGCCAAAACAAACAATGTTCATAACAACAAGCCAAACTCTTTAAAAGAACACTAAAGCAACAGCTTAACACAAGGGTTAACTAATTCAACACAAACGTGCCATTACACATGCTCAAAAGCCTTCAAACTCGCCAAAACAAACAATGTTCATAACAACAAGCCAAACTCTTCAAAAGAACACTAAAACAACAGATTCACGCATTCATAACATTACACATGCTCAAAAACCTTCAAACTCGCCAAAACAAACAATGCTCATAACAACAAGCAAAACTCATCAAAAGAACACTTAAACAACAGCTTAACACAAGGGATTACTAATTCAACACATTCATGCCATTACACATGCTCAAAAACCTTCAAACTCGCCAAAACGAACAATGTTCATAACAACAAGCCAAACTCATCAAAAGAACACTAAAACAACAGCTTAACGCATTCATGCCATTACACATGCTCAAAAAACGTTCAAACTCGCCAAAACAAAGTCTTTTCATAACAACAAGCCAAACTCATCAAAAGAACACTAAAACAACAGCTTAACACAAGGGATTACTAATTCAACACATTCATGCCATTACACATGCTAAAAAACCTTCAAACTGGCCAAAACGAACAATGTTCATAACAACAAGCCAAACTCATAAAAAGAACACTAAAACAACAGCTTAACGCATTCATGCCATTAGACATGCTCAAAAACGTTCAAACTCGCCAAAACAAACACTTTTCATAACAACAAGCCAAACTCATCAAAAGAACACTAAAACAACAGCTTAACACAAGGGATTACTAATTTAACACATTCATGCCATTACACATGATCAAAAACCTTCAAACTGGCCAAAACGAACAATGTTCATAACAACAATCCAAACTCATCAAAAGAACACTAAAACAACAGCTTAACGCATTCGTGCCATTACACATGCTCAAAAACGTCCAAACTCGCCAAAACAAACACTTTTCATAACAACAAGCCAAACTCATCAAAAGAACACTAAAACAACAGCTTAACACATTCATGCCATTACACATGCTAAAAAACGTTCAAACTCGCCAAAACAAACACTTTTCATAACAACAAGCCAAACTCATCAAAAGAACACTAAAACAACAGCTTAACGCATTCATTCCATTACACATGCTCAAAAACGTTCAAACTCGCCAAAACAAACACTTTTCATAACAACAAGCCAAACTCATCAAAAGAACACTAAAACAACAGCTTAACGCATTCATGCCATTACACATGCTCAAAAACGTTCAAACTCGCAAAAACAAACACTTTTCATAACAACAAGCCAAACTCATCAAAAGAACACTAAAACAACAGCTTAACGCATTCATGCCATTACACATGCTCAAAAACGTTCAAACTCGCAAAAAAAAAACACTGTTCATAACAACAAGCCAAACTCATCAAAAGAACACTAAAACAACAGCTTAACACAAGGGATTACTAATTCAACAGATTCATGCCATTACACATGCTCAAAAACCTTCAAACTGGCCAAAACAAACACTTTTCATAACAACAAGCCAAACTCATCAAAAGAACACTAAAACAACAGCTTAACACAAGGGATTACTAATTCAACAGATTCATGCCATTACACATGCTCAAAAACCTTCAAACTGGCCAAAACAAACACTTTTCATAACAACAAGCCAAACTCATCAAAAGAACACTAAAACAACAGCTTAACGCATTCATGCCATTACACATGCTCAAAAACGTTCAAACTCGCCAAAACAAACACTTTTCATAACAACAAGCCAAACTCATCAAAAGAACACTAAAACAACAGCTTAACGCATTCATTCCATTACACATGCTCAAAAACGTTCAAACTCGCCAAAACAAACACTTTTCATAACAACAAGCCAAACTCATCAAAAGAACACTAAAACAACAGCTTAACGCATTCATGCCATTACACATGCTCTAAAACGTTCAAACTCGCAAAAACAAACACTTTTCATAACAACAAGCCAAACTCATCAAAAGAACACTAAAACAACAGCTTAACGCATTCATTCCATTACACATGCTCAAAAACGTTCAAACTCGCAAAAAAAAAAACACTGTTCATAACAACAAGCCAAACTTATCAAAAGAACACTAAAACAACGGCTTAACACAAGGGATTACTAATTCAACACATTCATGCCATTACACATGCTCAAAAACCTTCAAACTGGCCAAAACGAACAATGTTCATAACAACAAGCCAAACTCATCAAAAGAACACTAAAACAACAGCTTAACGCATTCATGCCATTACACATGCTCAAAAAACGTTCAAACTCGCCAAAACAAACACTTTTCATAACAACAAGCCAAACTCATCAAAAGAACACTAAAACAACAGCTTAACACAAGGGATTACTAATTTAACACATTCATGCCATTACACATGATCAAAAACCTTCAAACTGGCCAAAACGAACAATGTTCATAACAACAATCCAAACTCATCAAAAGAACACTAAAACAACAGCTTAACGCATTCGTGCCATTACACATGCTCAAAAACGTTCAAACTCGCCAAAACAAACACTTTTCATAACAACAAGCCAAACTCATCATAAGAACACTAAAACAACAGCTTAACGCATTCATGCCATTACACATGCTCAAAAACGTTCAAACTCGCAAAAACAAACACTTTTCATAACAACAAGCCAAACTCATCAAAAGAACACTAAAACAACGGCTTAACACAAGGGACTACTAATTCAACACATTCATGCCATTACACATACTAAAAAATCTTCAAACTGGCCAAAACGAACAATATTCATAACAACAAGCCAAACTCATCAAAAGAACACTAAAACAACAGCTTAACGCATTCATTCCATTACACATGCTCAAAAACGTTCAAACTCGCAAAAAAAACACTGTTCATAACAACAAGCTAAACTCATCAAAAGAACACTAAAACAACGGCTTAACAAAAGGGATTACTAATTCAACACATTCATGCCATTACACATGCTCAAAAACCTTCAAACTGGCCAAAACGAACAATGTTCATAACAACAAGCCAAACTCATCAAAAGAACACTAAAACAACAGCTTAACGCATTCATGCCATTACACATGCTCAAAAAACGTTCAAACTCGCCAAAACAAAGTCTTTTCAAAACAACAAGCCAAACTCATCAAAAGAACACTAAAACAACAGCTTAACACAAGGGATTACTAATTCAACAGATTCATGCCATTACACATGCTCAAAAACCTTCAAACTGGCCAAAACAAACACTTTTCATAACAACAAGCCAAACTCATCAAAAGAACACTAAAACAACAGCTTAACGCATTCATGCCATTACACATGCTCAAAAACGTTCAAACTCGCCAAAACAAACACTTTTCATAACAACAAGCCAAACTCATCAAAAGAACACTAAAACAACAGCTTAACGCATTCATTCCATTACACATGCTCAAAAACGTTCAAACTCGCCAAAACAAACACTTTTCATAACAACAAGCCAAACTCATCAAAAGAACACTAAAACAACAGCTTAACGCATTCATGCCATTACACATGCTCAAAAACATTCAAACTCTCAAAAACAAACACTTTTCATAACAACAAGCCAAACTCATCAAAAGAACACTAAAACAACAGCTTAACGCATTCATTCCATTACACATGCTCAAAAACGTTCAAACTCGCAAAAAAAAAACACTGTTCATAACAACAAGCCAAACTTATCAAAAGAACACTAAAACAACGGCTTAACACAAGGGATTACTAATTCAACACATTCATGCCATTACACATGCTCAAAAACCTTCAAACTGGCCAAAACGAACAATGTTCATAACAACAAGCCAAACTCATCAAAAGAACACTAAAACAACAGCTTAACGCATTCATGCCATTACACATGCTCAAAAACGTTCAAACTCGCCAAAACAAACACTTTTCATAACAACAAGCCAAACTCATCAAAAGAACACTAAAACAACAGCTTAACGCATTCATGCCATTACACATGCTCAAAAACGTTCAAACTCGCCAAAACAAACACTTTTCATAACAACAAGCCAAACTCATCAAAAGAACACTAAAACAACAGCTTAACGCATTCATGCCATTACACATGCTCAAAAACGTTCAAACTCGCCAAAACAAACACTTTTCATAACAACAAGCCAAACTCATCAAAAGAACACTAAAACAACAGCTTAACACAAGGGATTACTAATTTAACACATTCATGCCATTACACATGATCAAAAACCTTCAAACTGGCCAAAACGAACAATGTTCATAACAACAAGCCAAACTCATCAAAAGAACACTAAAACAACAGCTTAACGCATTCATGCCATTACACATGCTCAAAAACGTTCAAACTCGCCAAAACAAACACTTTTCATAACAAGCCAAACTTATCAAAAGAACACTAAAACAACTGCTTGACACAAACATGCCATTAAGCATGCTCAAAAACCTTCAAACTCGCCAAAACAAACAATGCTCATGACAACAAGCCAATACTCATCAAAACAACACTAAAACAACAGCTTAACGCATTCATGCCATTACACATGCTCAAAAACGTTCAAACTCGCAAAAAAAAACACTGTTCATAACAACAAGCCAAACTCATCAAAAGAACACTAAAACAACAGCTTTACACAAGGAATTACTAATTCAACACATTCATGCCATTACACATGCTCAAAAACAGTGTTGTTTTCGTCAGGCAGGACGAAAACTTAAATGACGACGTCAGACCCCTTTTTTCCTTGACGAAAATGACACTAAGACGAACGTCACCAAAGCTCTGTAAAGACTAAAATGTGACGAAAATTGTATTCATTTTCGTCAGACGAGAACGAGACGAGACTAAATTGTTATTAGGTGGACGAACAAACTTTCAAAACATGCTTTTTTTTTTCCTAACAGTCACGCCCCCATCACACACGCACCAAAAGCCTCGCTCGCGCACAGCTGCGCGCACACACTCATACAGCTACACAGAGCGGCAGGTGGACGAGGCGCGCACACACACACACACACCGTGGCGGCAGGCACAGCAGCGGTGCCCGGTGGCCGAAAAAAGAGGGATGCTTTATGGTCCTACTTCAGATACAGTCCAAGTGACATTAAAACACAATGTCTTGTACGGGGACGGGGAGACGAGACAGACGACAGTTGTGGAGCCACAGCTTCCTCATGCTGCGGCTTCAAACTGTCGGGAAAGAACACCACGAACCTCAAAAGGCACCTTTTTGTTGACTAAAACTAGACTAAAACCGTTTGAGTTTTCGTCGGACTAAAACTAGACGAAAACTATCAAGGATAGAAATGACTAAAATGGGACTAAAATGAAGAAGCATTTCGTCAAAATGACTAAGACTAAAACTAAATCTAAAATGCCTGCCAAAAACAACACTGCTCAAAAACGTTCAAACTCGCCAAAACGAACAATGTTCATAACAACAAGCCAAACTCATCAAAAGAACACTAAAACAACAGCTTAACGCATTCATGCCATTACACATGCTCAAAAACGTTCAAACTCGCCAAAACAAACACTTTTCATAACAACAAGCCAAACTCATCAAAAGAACACTAAAACAACAGCTTAACACAAGGGATTACTAATTCAACACATTCATGCCATTACACATGCTCAAAAACCTTCAAACTGGCCAAAACGAACAATGTTCATAACAACAAGCCAAACTAATCATAAGAACACTAAAACAACAGCTTAACGCATTCATGCCATTACACATGCTCAAAAACGTTCAAACTCGCCAAAACAAACACTTTTCATAACAACAAGCCAAACTCATCAAAAGAACACTAAAACAACAGCTGAACGCATTCATGCCATTACGCATGCTTAAAAACGTTCAAAGTCGCCAAAAAAAACACTTTTCATAACAAGCCAAACTCATCAAAAGAACACTAAAACAACAGCTTAACGCATTCATGCCATTACACATGCTCAAAAACGTTCAAACTCGCCAAAACAAACACTTTTCATAACAACAAGCCAAACTCATCATAAAAACACTAAAACAACAGCTTAACGCATTCATGCCATTACACATGCTCAAAAACGTTCAAACTCGCCAAAACAAACACTTTTCATAACAACAAGCCAAACTCATCAAAAGAACACTAAAACAACGGCTTAACACAAGGGATTACTAATTCAACACATTCATGCCATTACACATACTAAAAAATCTTCAAACTGGCCAAAACGAACAATATTCATAACAACAAGCCAAACTCATCAAAAGAACACTAAAACAACAGCTTAACGCATTCATGCCATTACACATGCTCAAAAACGTTCATACTCGCCAAAACAAACACTTTTCATAACAACAAGCCAAACTCATCAAAAGAACACTAAAACAACGGCTTAACACAAGGGATTACTAATTCAACACATTCATGCCATTACACATGCTCAAAAACCTTCAAACTGGCCAAAACGAACAATGTTCATAAAAACAAGCCAAACTCATAAAAAGAACACTAAAACAACGGCTTAACACGAGGGATTACTAATTCAACACATTCATGCCATTACACATACTAAAAAATCTTCAAACTGGCCAAAACGAACAATATTCATAACAACAAGCCAAACTCATCAAAAGAACACTAAAACAACAGCTTAACGCATTCATGCCATTACACATGCTCAAAAACGTTCATACTCGCCAAAACAAACACTTTTCATAACAACAAGCCAAACTCATCAAAAGAACACTAAAACAACAGCTTAACACAAGGGATTACTAATTCAACACATTCATGCCATTACACATGCTCAAAAACCTTCAAACTGGCCAAAACAAACACTTTTCATAACAACAAGCCAAACTCATCAAAAGAACACTAAAACAACAGCTTAACGCATTCATGCCATTACACATGCTCAAAAACGTTCAAACTCGCCAAAACAAACACTTTTCATAACAACAAGCCAAACTCATCAAAAGAACACTAAAACAACAGCTTAACGCATTCATTCCATTACACATGCTCAAAAACGTTCAAACTCGCAAAAAAACACTGTTCATAACAACAAGCCAAACTCATCAAAAGAACACTAAAACAACGGCTTAACAAAAGGGATTACTAATTCAACACATTCATGCCATTACACATGCTCAAAAACCTTCAAACTGGCCAAAACGAACAATGTTCATAAAAACAAGCCAAACTCATCAAAAGAACACTAAAACAACAGCTTAACGCATTCATGCCATTACACATGCTCAAAAAACGTTCAAACTCGCCAAAACAAAGTCTTTTCATAACAACAAGCCAAACTCATCAAAAGAACACTAAAACAACAGCTTAACACAAGGGATTACTAATTCAACAGATTCATGCCATTACACATGCTCAAAAACCTTCAAACTGGCCAAAACAAACACTTTTCATAACAACAAGCAAAACTCATCAAAAGAACACTAAAACAACAGCTTAACGCATTCATGCCATTACACATGCTCAAAAACGTTCAAACTCGCCAAAACAAACACTTTTCATAACAACAAGCCAAACTCATCAAAAGAACACTAAAACAACAGCTTAACGCATTCATTCCATTACACATGCTCAAAAACGTTCAAACTCGCCAAAACAAACACTTTTCATAACAACAAGCCAAACTCATCAAAAGAACACTAAAACAACAGCTTAACGCATTCATGCCATTACACATGCTCAAAAACGTTCAAACTCGCAAAAACAAACACTTTTCATAACAACAAGCCAATCTTATCAAAAGAACACTAAAACAACAGCTTAACGCATTCATTCCATTACACATGCTCAAAAACGTTCAAACTCGCAAAAAAAAAAACACTGTTCATAACAACAAGCCAAACTTATCAAAAGAACACTAAAACAACGGCTTAACACAAGGGATTACTAATTCAACACATTCATGCCATTACACATGCTCAAAAACCTTCAAACTGGCCAAAACGAACAATGTTCATAACAACAAGCCAAACTCATCAAAAGAACACTAAAACAACAGCTTAACGCATTCATGCCATTACACATGCTCAAAAAACGTTCAAACTCGCCAAAACAAAGTCTTTTCATAACAACAAGCCAAACTCATCAAAAGAACACTAAAGCAACAGCTTAACGCATTCATGCCATTACACATGCTCAAAAACGTTCAAACTCGCCAAAACAAACACTTTTCATAACAACAAGCCAAACTCATCAAAAGAACACTAAAACAACGGCTTAACACAAGGGATTACTAATACAACACATTCATGCCATTACACATACTAAAAAATCTTCAAACTGGCCAAAACGAACAATATTCATAACAACAAGCCAAACTCATCAAAAGAACACTAAAACAACAGCTTAACGCATTCATGCCATTACACATGCTCAAAAACGTTCATACTCGCCAAAACAAACACTTTTCATAACAACAAGCCAAACTCATCAAAAGAACACTAAAACAACGGCTTAACACAAGGGATTACTAATTCAACACATTCATGCCATTACACATGCTCAAAAACGTTCAAACTGGCCAAAACGAACAATGTTCATAAAAACAAGCCAAACTCATAAAAAGAACACTAAAACAACGGCTTAACACGAGGGATTACTAATTCAACACATTCATGCCATTACACATACTAAAAAATCTTCAAACTGGCCAAAACGAACAATATTCATAACAACAAGCCAAACTCATCAAAAGAACACTAAAACAACAGCTTAACGCATTCATGCCATTACACATGCTCAAAAACGTTCATACTCGCCAAAACAAACACTTTTCATAACAACAAGACAAACTCATCAAAAGAACACTAAAACAACGGCTTAACACAAGGGATTACTAATTCAACACATTCATGCCATTACACATGCTCAAAAACCTTCAAACTGGCCAAAACGAACAATGTTCATAAAAACAAGCCAAACTCATCAAAAGAACACTAAAACAACAGCTTAACGCATTCATGCCATTACACATGCTCAAAAAACATTCAAACTCGCAAAAACAAAGTCTTTTCATAACAACAAGCCAAACTCATCAAAAGAACACTAAAACAACAGCTTAACACAAGGGATTACTAATTCAACACATTCATGCCATTACACATGCTCAAAAACCTTCAAACTGGCCAAAACAAACACTTTTCATAACAACAAGCCAAACTCATCAAAAGAACACTAAAACAACAGCTTAACGCATTCATGCCATTACACATGCTCAAAAACGTTCAAACTCGCCAAAACAAACACTTTTCATAACAACAAGCCAAACTCATCAAAAGAACACTAAAACAACAGCTTAACGCATTCATTCCATTACACATGCTCAAAAACGTTCAAACTCGCAAAAAAACACTGTTCATAACAACAAGCCAAACTCATCAAAAGAACACTAAAACAACGGCTTAACAAAAGGGATTACTAATTCAACACATTCATGCCATTACACATGCTCAAAAACCTTCAAACTGGCCAAAACGAACAATGTTCATAAAAACAAGCCAAACTCATCAAAAGAACACTAAAACAACAGCTTAACGCATTCATGCCATTACACATGCTCAAAAAACGTTCAAACTCGCCAAAACAAAGTCTTTTCATAACAACAAGCCAAACTCATCAAAAGAACACTAAAACAACAGCTTAACACAAGGGATTACTAATTCAACAGATTCATGCCATTACACATGCTCAAAAACCTTCAAACTGGCCAAAACAAACACTTTTCATAACAACAAGCCAAACTCAACAAAAGAACACTAAAACAACAGCTTAACGCATTCATGCCATTACACATGCTCAAAAACGTTCAAACTCGCCAAAACAAACACTTTTCATAACAACAAGCCAAACTCATCAAAAGAACACTAAAACAACAGCTTAACGCATTCATTCCATTACACATGCTCAAAAATGTTCAAACTCGCCAAAACAAACACTTTTCATAACAACAAGCCAAACTCATCAAAAGAACACTAAAACAACAGCTTAACGCATTCATGCCATTACACATGCTCAAAAACGTTCAAACTCGCAAAAACAAAAAACACTGTTCATAACAACAAGCCAAACTTATCAAAAGAACACTAAAACAACGGCTTAACACAAGGGATTACTAATTCAACACATTCATGCCATTACACATGCTCAAAAACCTTCAAACTGGCCAAAACGAACAATGTTCATAACAACAAGCCAAACTCATCAAAAGAACATAAAACAACAGCTTAACGCATTCATGCCATTACACATGCTCAAAAAACGTTCAAACTCGCCAAAACAAAGTCTTTTCATAACAACAAGCCAAACTCATCAAAAGAACACTAAAACAACAGCTTAACGCATTCATGCCATTACACATGCTCAAAAACGTTCAAACTCGCCAAAACAAACACTTTTCATAACAACAAGCCAAACTCATCAAAAGAACACTAAAACAACAGCTTAACGCATTCATGCCATTACACATGCTCAAAAACGTTCAAACTCACCAAAAGAAACACTTTTCATAACAACAAGCCAAACTCATCAAAAGAACACTAAAACAACAGCTTAACGCATTCATGCCATTACACATGCTCAAAAACGTTCAAACTCGCCAAAACAAACACTTTTCATAACAAGCCAAACTCATCAAAAGAACACTAAAACAACAGCTTAACGCATTCATGCCATTACACATGCTCAAAAACGATCAAACTCGCCAAAACAAACACTTTTCATAACAACAAGCCAAACTCATCAAAAGAATACTAAAACAACAGCTTAACACAAGGGATTACTAATTCAACACGTTCATGCCATTACACATGCTAAAAAACCTTCAAACTGGCCAAAACGAACAATGTTCATAACAACAAGCCAAACTCATAAAAAGAACACTAAAACAACAGATTAACGCATTCATGCCATTACACATGCTCAAAAACGTTCAAACTCGCCAAAGCAAACACTTTTCATAACAACAAGCAAAACTCATCAAAACAACACTAAAACAACAGCTTAACACAAGGGATTACTAATTCAACACATTCATGCCATTACACATGCTCAAAAACGTTCAAACTCGCGAAAACAAACACTTTTCATAACAACAAGCCAAACTCATCAAAAGAACACTAAAACAACAGCTTAACGCATTCATGCCATTACACATTTTCAAAAACGTTCAAACTCGCCAAAACAAACACTTTTCATAACAACAAGCCAAACTCATAAAAAGAACACTAAAACAACAGCTTAACGCATTCATGCTAATAGACATGCTCAAAAACGTTCAAATTCGCCAAAACAAACACTTTTCATAACAACAAGCCAAACTCATCAAAAGAACACTAAAACAACAGCTTAACACAAGGGATTACTAATTTAACACATTCATGCCATTACACATGATCAAAAACCTTCAAACTGGCCAAAACGAACAATGTTCATAACAACAAGCCAAACTCATCATAAGAACACTAAAACAACAGCTTAACGCATTCATGCCATTACACATGCGCAAAAACGTTCAAACTCGCCAAAACAAACACTTTTCACAACAATAAGCCAAACTCATCAAAAGAACACTTAAACAACAGCTTAACGCATTCATGCCATTACCCATGCTCAAAAACGTTCAAACTCGCCAAAACAAACACTTTTCATAACAACAAGCCAAACTCATCAAAAGAACACTAAAACAACAGCTTAACACAAGGGATTACTAATTCAACACATTCTTGCCATTACACATGCTCAAAAACGTTTAAAATCGCCAAAACAAAATCTTTTCATAACAATAAGCCAAACTCATCAAAAGAACACTAAAACAACAGCTTAACACAAGGGATTACTAATTCAACACATTCATGCCATTACACATGCTCAAAAACGTTTAAACTCGCCAAAACAAACACTTTTCATAACAACAAGCCAAACTCATCAAAAGAACACTAAAACAACGGCTTAACACAAGGGATTACTAATTTAACACATTCATGCCATTACACATGATCAAATACCTTCAAACTGGCCAAAACGAACAATGTTCATAACAACAAGCCAAACTCATCAAAAGAACACTAAAACAACAGCTTAACGCATTCATGCCATTACACATGCTCAAAAACGTTCAAACTCGCCAAAACAAACACTTTTCATAACAACAAGCCAAACTCATCAAAAGAACACTAAAACAACAGCTTAACGCATTCATTCCATTACACATGCTCAAAAACGTTCAAACTCGCCAAAACAAACACTTTTCATAACAACAAGCCAAACTCATCAAAAGAACACTAAAACAACAGCTTAACGCATTCATGCCATTACACATGCTCAAAAACGTTCAAACTCGCCAAAACAAACACTTTTCATAACAACAAGCCAAACTCATCAAAAGAACACTAAAACAACAGCTTAACGCATTCATGCCATTACACATGCTCAAAAACGTTCAAACTCGCCAAAACAAACACTTTTCATAACAACAAGCCAAACTCATCAAAAGAATACTAAAACAACAGCTTAACACAAGGGATTACTAATTCAACACGTTCATGCCATTACACATGCTAAAAAACCTTCAAACTGGCCGAAAACGAACAATGTTCATAACAACAAGCCAAACTCATAAAAAGAACACTAAAACAACAGATTAACGCATTCATGCCATTACACATGCTCAAAAACTTTCAAACTCGCCAGACAAACACTTTTCATAACAACAAGCCAAACTCATCAAAAGAATACTAAAACAACAGCTTAACACAAGGGATTACTAATTCAACACGTTCATGCCATTACACATGCTAAAAAACCTTCAAACTGGCCGAAACGAACAATGTTCATAACAACAAGCCAAACTCATAAAAAGAACACTAAAACAACAGATTAACGCATTCATGCCATTACACATGCTCAAAAACTTTCAAACTCGCCAGACAAACACTTTTCATAACAACAAGCCAAACTCATCAAAAGAACACTAAAACAACAGCTTAACGCATTCATGCCATTACACATTTTCAAAAACGTTCAAACTCGCCAAAACAAACACTTTTCATAACAACAAGCCAAACTCATAAAAAGAACATTAAAACAACAGCTTAACGCATTCATGCTAATAGACATGCTCAAAAACGTTCAAATTCGCCAAAACAAACACTTTTCATAACAACAAGCCAAACTCATCAAAAGAACACTAAAACAACAGCTTAACACAAGGGATTACTAATTCAACACATTCATGCCATTACACATGCTCAAAAACGTTTAAACTCGCCAAAACAAACACTTTTCATAACAACAAGCCAAACTCATCAAAAGAACACTAAAACAACGGCTTAACACAAGGGATTACTAATTCAACACATTCATGCCATTACACATGCTAAAAAACCTTCAAACTGGCCAAAACGAACAATGTTCATTACAACAAGCCAAACTCATCAAAAGAACACTAAAACAACAGCTTAACGCATTCATGCCATTGCACATGCTCAAAAACGTTCAAACTCGCCAAAACAAACACTTTTCATAACAACAAGCCAAACTCATCAAAAGAATACTAAAACAACAGCTTAACACAAGGGATTACTAATTCAACACGTTCATGCCATTACACATGCTAAAAAACCTTCAAACTGGCCGAAACGAACAATGTTCATAACAACAAGCCAAACTCATAAAAAGAACACTAAAACAACAGCTTAACGCATTCATGCCATTACACATGCTCAAAAACTTTCAAACTCGCCAGACAAACACTTTTCATAACAACAAGCCAAACTCATCAAAAGAATACTAAAACAACAGCTTAACACAAGGGATTACTAATTCAACACGTTCATGCCATTACACATGCTAAAAAACCTTCAAACTGGCCGAAACGAACAATGTTCATAACAACAAGCCAAACTCATAAAAAGAACACTAAAACAACAGATTAACGCATTCATGCCATTACACATGCTCAAAAACTTTCAAACTCGCCAGACAAACACTTTTCATAACAACAAGCCAAACTCATCAAAAGAACACTAAAACAACAGCTTAACGCATTCATGCCATTACACATTTTCAAAAACGTTCAAACTCGCCAAAACAAACACTTTTCATAACAACAAGCCAAACTCATAAAAAGAACATTAAAACAACAGCTTAACGCATTCATGCTAATAGACATGCTCAAAAACGTTCAAATTCGCCAAAACAAACACTTTTCATAACAACAAGCCAAACTCATCAAAAGAACACTAAAACAACAGCTTAACACAAGGGATTACTAATTCAACACATTCATGCCATTACACATGCTCAAAAACGTTTAAACTCGCCAAAACAAACACTTTTCATAACAACAAGCCAAACTCATCAAAAGAACACTAAAACAACGGCTTAACACAAGGGATTACTAATTCAACACATTCATGCCATTACACATGCTAAAAAACCTTCAAACTGGCCAAAACGAACAATGTTCATTACAACAAGCCAAACTCATCAAAAGAACACTAAAACAACAGCTTAACGCATTCATGCCATTGCACATGCTCAAAAACCTTACAACTGGCCAAAAAGAACAATGTTCATAACAACAAGCCAAACTCATCAAAAGAACACTAAAACAACAGCTTAACGCAGTCATGCCATTACACATGCTTAAAAACGTTCAAACTCGCCAAAACAAACACTTTTCATAACAACCAGCCAAACTCATCAAAAGAACACTAAAACAACAGCTTAACGCATTCATGCCATTACACATGCTCAAAAACGTTCAAACTGGCCAAAACGAACAATGTTCATAACAACAAGCCAAACTAATCAAAAGAACACTAAAACAACAGCTTAACGCATTCATGCCATTACACATGCTCAAAAACGTTCAAACTCGCCAAAACGAACAATGTTCTTAACAACAATCCAAACTCATCAAAAGAACACTAAAACAACAGCTTAACGCATTCATGCCATTACATATGCTCAGAAACGTTCAAACTCGCCAAAACAAACACTTTTCATAACAACAAGCCAAACTCATCAAAAGAACACTAAAACAACGGCTTAACACAAGGGATTACTAATTCAACACATTCATGCCATTACACATGCTCAAAAACCTTCAAACTGGCCAAAACGAACAATGTTCATAACAAGCCAAACTCATCAAAAGAACACTAAAACAACAGCTTAACGCATTCATGCCATTACACATGCTCAAAAACGTTCAAACTGGCCAAAACGAACAATGTTCATAACAACAAGCCAAACTCATCATAAGAACACTAAAACAACAGCTTAACGCATTCATGCCATTACACATGCTCAAAAACGTTCAAACTCGCCAAAACAAACACTTTTCATAACAACAAGCCAAACTAATCAAAAGAACACTAAAACAACAGCTTAACGCATTCATGCCATTACACATGCTCAAAAACGTTCAAACTCGCCAAAACGAACAATTTTCATAACAACAAGCCAAACTCATCAAAAGAACACTAAAACAACAGCTTAACGCATTCATGCCATTACACATGCTCAAAAACGTTCAAACTCGCCAAAACAAACACTTTTCATAACAACAAGCCAAACTCATCAAAAGAACACTAAAACAACGGCTTAACACAAGGGATTACTAATTCAACACATTCATGCCATTACACATGCTCAAAAACCTTCAAACTGGCCAAAACGAACAATGTTCATACAAGCCAAACTCATCAAAAGAACACTAAAACAACAGCTTAACGCATTCATGCCATTACACATGCTCAAAAACGTTCAAACTGGCCAAAACGAACAATGTTCATAACAACAAGCCAAACTCATCATAAGAACACTAAAACAACAGCTTAACGCATTCATGCCATTACACATGCTCAAAAACGTTCAAACTCGCCAAAACAAACACTTTTCATAACAACAAGCCAAACTCATCAAAAGAACACTAAAACAACGGCTTAACACAAGGGATTACTAATTCAACACGTTCATGCCATTACACATGCTCAAAAACGTTCAAACTCGCCAAAACAAACACCTTTCATAACAACAAGCCAAACTCATCAAAAGAACACTAAAACAACAGCTTAACGCATTCATGCCATTACACATGCTCAAAAACGTTCAAACTCGCAAAAAAAAACACTGTTCATAACAACAAGCCAAACTCATCAAAAGAACACTAAAACAACGGCTTAACAAAAGGGATTACTAATTCAACACATTCATGCCATTACACATGCTCAAAAACCTTCAAACTGCCCAAAACGAACAATGTTCATAACAACAAGCCAAACTCATCAAAAGAACACTAAAACAACAGCTTAACGCATTCATGCCATTACACATGCTCAAAAAACGTTCAAACTCGCCAAAACAAAGTCTTTTCATAACAACAAGCCAAACTCATCAAAAGAACACTAAAACAACAGCTTAACACAAGGGATTACTAATTCAACAGATTCATGCCATTACACATGCTCAAAAACCTTCAAACTGGCCAAAACAAACACTTTTCATAACAACAAGCCAAACTCATCAAAAGAACACTAAAACAACAGCTTAACGCATTCATGCCATTACACATGCTCAAAAACGTTCAAACTCGCAAAAACAAACACTTTTCATAACAACAAGCCAAACTCATCAAAAGAACACTAAAAC